ATGTCTGCAGTATCATTTCCATGCTTTGTCACAAACTCTGTATGAGATTTAAGTATTCTTTCAGTAATGGCTTCTTTCTTGCCACTCACCCATATAGGCCACCTTTGTGTAGGGACCGGGATATTATTGATGTATGAAAACTGACTCCTATCTCAGACATGGAACTTTGCAAGTCTTTCAAAGTCACTGTTGGTTTCACAGTGGCACCCCTAACCAACTTCCCAGCTGCTCAGTTTGAAAGGGTAGCCTGACCTGGGTAGTGATTGGGTGGTATGAAGGACATTTCACTTCTTAACCCTTTACTTACTGGGGGCATTTTGGGCATCAGGGGAAAATCGCATTTGTGAATTGAAAAATTATAGAGAACTTATCTTTTATTGGTTTTCAGATTTTTTTTTTGTATGTAGTGGCATAACATTCAATTATTTGCACTAAATTGTATTATTTAATGAAGCCTGAAGAGAAATTTAATAAAAAAAAGTCCAAAAATATGTTGAGATTATAAATAAACACCATCTAAGGACAAATTTTTTTCAAAATTTTTTTCCTTGCACTTTAGCATTTGTTCTGCCATCTATGATTGGTATCTAAACCTTTTTCTGGTCTAGTTTCTTTATAAAACAGCGTCTGGGCATATTAAACCTCAGTAATAAAACTTTTACCCAATCCTAGTCAGTACCATGTTATTCCAATCATTGTATTTTATGTTTAACAAATCATAGAATGATAAGCTATGCATGTGATGAAACTTTGTTCTCTGGATTTTAAAATATGAACGTTTGCAGAAAGGTAGTAGCAAATACTTAAAGGAATAATCAGCAACTTTGAAATTTTCTTGTAACCTTCTCCTGATCTATGCTTCTCTACCACTTTATCCCTGACTTCATTGGAAAGCACCTTGGTCTTCATGGTTGGTTTGTCATAGTTCTATGCAAGTTGTGGCATGAACAGATGCATTTACTCTGAAGTCAAACAAAACCACTTTGATTATACACAGACAGAGACCATTACACTAATTTTGTAACCTTCCAAACTAATCTTTTGCACCTGAACTGATTTATGGTTGCTGTAGCAAATGAGTTGAATACTTATGTAATTGAGAATATTCTAATTTTCTTTGAAAATCTAACTTACTTACATAATATCAGCATTTTTTTTTTATCTTTCTCAGTTTGGAGTAGATTTGAAAGTTTGAAAGTTTCGTGATTGCAAGCTCAGGTGGCAATAAAATGTGGAAACTTTGCAGCAGGTGAATACTTTTGCAACACACTGTAATTCTACACAAAAACTAACAGGATCAAACTTGGCACTCATGCTCAGGTACCATATGTGGGTGTCCTAATGTGTGTTTTTAAGGTATGCACCTCATGAAGACATTATATCAACTTAATACTTCATAGCTGAATTTTAAAAACATTCAGAACTTACTAATTACAATAATAAGATAATATACTTTAGTGAAATTATTAATTTTCTAAACAAAACACTTACAGGAACAGCATTAGTGGCATGCATGGTCACACAGTTGCTTGGCTCGTAAGATAACTGATGTAATGCACAGATGGCTGCCTGACGAACTTGCTCTTTGTTTGATTTCAGATAGCTTACTAGAGGGGCTACAACACCAGCATCACCAAAATCAGCCCGATTACTTCCCCAAGCACAACATCGACATATGGCTTCTGCTAGATAGCGCCTTAGCTTACTGTCATTCTAATGAAAATAGAAATACAAAAGACCACTAAATGACAATCAGAACACAAGATTATACACAATATATATTATTCATGTTTTTTTTGGGGGGGGCATGTGCAAAATTCTGTGTATTATTTGTAAAAAAAACTTTTTTTTTTTTGGCTCAAAGTAGGTGTTAGGATGAAAAATAAATATTTTAATTACTAGCAACAAGTGTTTACATTTTTGAAATGCATTATGATATATACATGAGTATCACAGTGACATAACTTTTATAATGTAACAAGGGGGTGGATCACAAAATACTAATACTTTTCACTTTCAACGTGAAGGAAACTAATGTTAAAAATAAACAAGATGGAATCCCTTTAAAATGTTTTTCACATTTGCATCATTGAAATCACCCTGATAACTTTTTCTAGGCCTAAAAAAACAAACAATGTATGTCTGTGTGCTTAAAATCAGAATTTACAGTTGATGAAATCTCAACTTCCATTGAACTTCCAAATTTCACTCAAAGAATTGATGGACACAAACTGGAAACAGAAAATTTACTGTCAGTCTGGCACTGGACTAACCTAATCACTCATAAACCCTTGCTTCACTCATCCTCATATTTATATTGTACTCATTTCATGACTTATGGCTCAAAATTGTTAGATCACAATATAGTACAATACAGATTTCATGTCTCTATACCTAGTAACTCAAATGTTTTACACATTTGCTTCACAATGCCTATAAAATAAGTTGCAAAATTATGCCATTCAAAGTGGACATGACCAAGTGAAACCATTATTCAAATGTTTTCACCACATGTCTATTGAAAAAGGAAAAAAAAAGCTAAGTTCATGAAGTATTATATTAGGTCACTAGAAGATGCATCTCTAACCTCTAACCTTTATTTTTTATTTCCTGGAACTCTGTTGATGTGAATCTCAGTAACCAGCAAGTTTGAAGGCAATATCACAGCACAGTCAAGCATTTGTGAATAGTCTGTTTTGCAACTCTGTTTTTATAAATCACCTAAGTCAGAAGCCTTCTATATGTGAGAGGACAAATCATTTATAAATCACTGAAACCACCCTTATACATTCTTGTAGGCCCGAAACAAACAAATAATCTATGTCTAGGTGCCTAAAATCAGAATTTACAGTTGTTGAAATCTCTCTTCCATTGAAATACCAAATTTCACTCAAAGTACTGATGAGCAAACTTGAGTGTGACCTGGAAAATTGGATGATAAAGATATATATTGTATTTTGGAATTTCCAAGGTTCCTGAAATTTCTAGGATAAGATTCAGTAGAAAAAGTGGATACCCACAGATTCAAACCAAACTTCTGGCCATTCAGACAATAATGACAATTTCCTGAAGTAATTTTCAACAAAATTTTGATACTGATAATACATTATTTTATAATAAGTACTCAATCCACTTACATGAAATCCCTGGAAGAAACTTAAGTGCTTCTGATGACATCCTGGGAGAGCTTTATAAGAGCTATTTTATATAGTCTAAGGCTTACATTGAGCATGTTTCCAGGCTAGCTGAACCACATATTTTTGTTGTATATTAACACTTAGGCAATGAAAGCCTTGGACATCTAAATTACTGCATAATAGTGACTTCCTAAAAGAGTGATGGGTAACCCACAGCCCATAGTGGTCAATTTAAGGCCCCAATGCATCCTAAAAAAGAAAGTTCACAACAACACAAATGGTTTGCAATAGCTTATGCTATTTGTAAGCAACGACAGCAGGGCTATGTCTAAATGCATTAATGCTTTGAAATTATATTAATTAATTAAATTACTTATTTTTTGTAATCACAAAATTGTCGGTAAAGTTATTACAACTTTGATATTTTTGAAATGTAGTTACTTTTTATTTAAATGCATATTTGGCTTATGACTGATAAAGGGTGTTTTGTGGCCCATATATATATTAGTTTTGGTTGCCCTAGAACGCTAGAACTTAAAATAGCAGCTGTGTTCTCCTTCAAGTCAAAATTCCTTTCTTGGCTGATGGGAAAAACTGTGCCATCTAAGGAAATTTCCTTACTTCATTGATGGTTGTGCTGGCCAATAAAAACCTGATGCAGGTTTATCAAACTTTCCTACTATAAACTGGATTTTTGGATTTGTCTAAAGGCATTTTGGATGCTATTAAGAAACTATTCAAAAGGATGAATGCAAAGAAAAAAATTTCCAGTATGCCATTGATGACCAGATTTTAATCCCCACTGAAAGGTTCACAACTTGGCACTGAATTATTACAGACACATGAAACCTATATGGATTCATCTTCAAGTCTTTTCTCTGTTTTCAAGTTCATAACTTAGATAAGCCTGTAACTAACTGTTTCTTATAAATTGGGAAGTTCAATTTCTTATATCCAAAAAATAATGCATATCAGAATGAAATGAATGAAAAACTTCCTGAAGAATTTGAGACCATTAAATTAAATTCATGTACCTAGAGAAGAAATTAGGACAGCACTACTGTTTAAATAACGAAAAACTGCTGTATACCTATTGACAAGATGCCTTTCAGAGTTCAATATCTAAGCCTTAGTTCATCAGTCATAAAAACTAGGAATTCCAGGGTCAAGACTCCCAAAAAGGACCAAGAGAATATGTAGAGGTAGATAATGCAGCAAAAATTGGTGTCGCTTTTGTCTAAAAGAGAACAGCCACGATACCACCATAATCAAGTCATCTGATCCAAATAAATGACTTCTTCCAACTTTTGTTTATTTGTTTGTTTTGAATTTCGTGCAAAGCTACACAAGGGCTATCTGTGATAGCCTTCCCTAATTTAGCAGTGCAAGACTAGAGGGAAGGCAGCTAGTCATCACCATCCACCGCCAACTCTTGGGCTACTCTTTTACCAATGAATAGTGGAATTGACCGTCACATTATAACGCCCCCACAGCTGAAAGGGCGAGCATGTTCGGTGTGACGGGGATTCGAACCCTCGACCTGCAGATTGCGAGTCGAGCTCCCTAACCACCTGGCCATGCCGGGCCCTCTTCCAACTATTCATAAACTTCTATAATCTATAAAATGGGGATGCTACTTTTGGAGAAAAAAGTAAATAAGTGGGGAAGGCATATTTGAATGGGGGAGGGAAGAGTATAGCATCATGGGTGATAGAAGGTAACATTTCAGATACTGAAAGTCTTTAAAAGTGAATGCCTAGCTGTTTGTGATTTCTGTACATGTTATCAAATCATTTGTATATTATGGTAGGAAAACTGTTTATGCATGTGAGTGCATATGACATGTGGGTAAGTTATGTGCTTAGTAACACTAGTTATTAATACAATACATAATGTATCATTGGAAGTAAAAATAAACACACAGTGGGAGACCATGTGTGAAATATAAAAGATACATAAAGGATGGGCAACTGGAAGCCCTGGGGCCATATCTAACCCAACAGACAATTTTACCTGGCCCAATAAGTTGTCAAGTAGGAATATTAACCTTATATATACCACTTAACCAAAATATTTTGATGTAGTAACATATTCAAATGCTAATACAAAAATATTAAATGAATAAAGTAAATACATTATTTGACGATTTTAGAGTAAAATATATTACCTATTTGTGAAAAAAAATTCAAGTTTTGATATTTGTTATGTTGTCATACTTACAATTTATAAAATGCATATTTAAATATTTGTAACATTCATAAAGTTCCTAGGCTTTAAATATTATCGCATCATCATAAAATGTCTCATTTTGTAGAAAAAGTCATGCAACATATATAAAATTGGTATGTGGTTCTTTTCAGAGGTAAATATTCTCCTAAATCAATTACCAAAAGGTAGAAAATCAATTTTGAAAATTCAAGAAGAATCATGGGTCGTGGAACAAGGGGAAAATTGGGAATGAAAATGATAAGGAAAAAGGCATAAATAGAAAATAAAACCGTATACTGAATATTCGATTTAGTTTGTTTGAATTTTGTGCAAAGCTACATCAGAACTATCTGCACTAGCTAAGCCTAATTTAACAGTGAAAGACTAGAGGGAAGACAGTTAGTCATCATCATTTACCACAAACTTGAGTTGCTCTTTTAATAATGGGATTCACTGTCACATTATAGCAAACCCACAGCTGAAAGGGCAAGTATGTTTGGTGAGATGGGGATTCGAATCCAAAATATTGGGTGTTGTCATTTAAAACATGCAGATGTGGTATTGTTGTCAACCAGCCAGACATGATGAAAAATTAGGGAAGAAATTTAGAAGCCTTGATTAAGGGTACTAGAAAAACCTGTGACTTTTTGTAAGAATAAATATATTAACCCAATCTTTTCTTTTACTTTGAACTTAGAAAAAAAAAGTATAATGAGAAATTTCAATATAGCCTTCCAAGCTGAATTGAATGCATATATTTCTGAACTAAATGATTGCATTTTGCAGTCTAATAAAATTAGTGCAATGCCATCAACATTTTTGGGTGGATTTTATGGCCCTTTGATAATTCAAAGTTGCTTGTCATTGACTTATACACTTGATATGATGTTATTTAGATATAAAATTTTCTAAATAATGTAAGGCTGAAAACTGTAGATAAGTGGAATATTTAGTTGAAAACATACTTTTAATGTTAATTATAAAAGTATATAATTTAACTAACAACAAATTGCAAGTTTCAGTTATAACATAACATTTTGGGACAACATGGGACCCATTGGTCCATCTCAGCTGTTCCATCCTCTAAACTAATTTTAAAAAAATCTTAAAGCATGCCCTTATCATTCATATACCTATCAAGCTTTTTCTTATACTCACTTAAATGCACTGCTTCCACAACATCTGGAAGCAACCCATTCCAAAGGCCAACCATTCTGTTAGAAAAATGAAACTATCTTTGCTGAAGATGATTCCTACCCTGCCAGTATGTTTATTTGTGTCCCCTAGTCCTACTATAATCACTGTTAAATATGAAAAAAAGATGATGCATTAACACTATTAATTCCCCCCTTTTACAATCTTAAACACCTCAATCAGATCCCCCCTAGCTATTCTTTTTTCAAGAGAAAACAATGAGAGATTTCAGCCTCTCCTTGTATGACAATCCCCCCCCCCCCACATCCCAGGCACTATTCTACTCTTTCCTTAGGTAAGGAGCCAAGACTAAACACAATATTCCAAACGTGGCCTAACCAGTGATCTGTACAATGAAATTATAGCCTCTTTAGACTTGTATTCAGTGTTTCTGTAGATACAACCTAAAACCCGATTTGCCCTACCACTAACAACAGCACTGCTTGGGGGACTTTAGAGACTGATCGATTATTACACCAAGATCCCTTTCCTTCATAACACTGCTAAAGTTATTCCCATCCAAATTATACTTATAATTCAAATTATGATAACCCACATGTATTATCTTTCATTTATTATAATTTAAACCCATCTGCCATTTATTTGCCCAACTCACTAAATGATCTAAATCCTTTTGTAAATCAGCAGCATCTTCTTCACAGCTAGCTACACCCAAGACCTTAATATCATCTAATCTATTGACTATTCCTTCACTTATGTCATTGAAGTAAATAAAAAAAAAGCAAAAGTCCTAAGGTACCCCACTCATGAAATTAATCCAGTTTGATTGAACCCCATTTGTAACAACCCTCTGCTTTCTTCCATCCAGCCATTCTTCTACCCAATTTGCTAACTTATCACCCACACGAATATAGATAATTTTTTTACAAGCCTTTTATGTGGCACCTTGTTAAATGTTTTCTTAAAATCCAGATACACCAAATCTACACCCTTTCTCTCATCTACATAAGCAGTAATATTTTCAAAGAATGTTAAAAGGTTTGTAAGGCAAGATTTTCCCTTGTTGAA